AGATCACGGCAACATGACGAGGTCAATGACACTCAAAAATAATGATGAAATACAACTGTTTACGGCATCCGTTAGTCATGCAAATGCTGATGCCGCCTCTAAGGCGTGTAAATCGATGCCTAAGGCCTCGGCCATCTCATTGAATGCTAGTACGAGAGAATGCACTTTCAAAGTGACTAAGCCGATCAGATAACCACTTACACCGCCGAAGACTCCTACTAGGATCATTCGTAACAGAGTGACAATAGCCAAGTTGTCACCCCAGACGGTCGTTGTTAGGATGGCGTGAATCACTTTCGGATTCTGTTGAACGAAGGAGAGGGCAGTCGCCACGGGACGCAGCCAAAAGATCATATAAGGCAGAGGCATGGTCAGTGGGAAATCATGTTCAGACATTAAAAAATTCAAATGGCTGATAGCAAGCTCAGCAATGGCCACAACTCCATTGAAATTTTTAACACAGACAATACCACTACGGGCATACTGAAGTTGGGCACAATAGTATTAGAATAAGGGTGAGGACGAAACCTTGCTAAAGGATGAGTAAATAAAGCCGATAGGTTCGATGGTGATGTCACGGGCATAGTAAGAATTGATGAGTTTTTGGAGAGTTTGTAATCTCATTATAGCGCTCAAGGTGCCCTTGACGGTGCCTAATACGCATCGTGGCATTTGCATCGTGAACAAGTTGACCGTCGACTTGTTCACGATGCAACTGTTGATGACACAATCAGAATCAACCAGATGAACAGCGCGAGCCTTATTCAGAATGCGTGTTGCTATTTCACGCAAAGGTTGGGACAGGAACATATCGCTAACTAGCACTATAGCGGCAACGCCTTCGACCAACTATGCTATGATCCCCTTTAAACGAACTCGGGCGAGCGCTAAAGTTGGAGAAGAACGCGCACGCCTCAGAGTTTAGAGTCAATGCTGACCGAAGATTACGTCCAGGCCGTAGTCGTGTAGTAGTAGTGGAAGTTATGTCTACTGCAACCACCAACTCTATCCCTGATGACCTCTTTAAGAAGGCCAAGACCGGCAAGGGACGGAGAGTACTGGCCGAGAGGGCCTCGAAACTCCAAGTACAGAATAATGGTCTCTTTCTAGTTGCCATCCACATGTATAGGAGAATGATAAGACGGTTATGCTACTCCGAGGGCCTCAGGCTGGTCAGGACGTTAATGCTCTGTTGAAGGACCTGTAGGTAACAGCGGTTAGTGCCGGGTAAAGGGGTTGCCACAGATACGATATGCTAAAGCCGAATGCTGTCAATCTGAGGAGGAACGAGAGTGTCCAGCCTTTCGAGGATCCTGGTAGTATCTTGGGGTGCTTCTGTGAAGAATCTCTGGGACGCTCTACATCGGCCTTCAAGGCCAATGCCCACCTTTTCTAAAGGTGTAGATGAGATGAAGTTGGTGGGTGAATTTTGATTCCACAGGCACGTTGGAATTCCTTGCGAGGAAAAACGATGCTAGTCTGTTTATATTCGGATCGAAGTAGTAACCACTACCTCCTGTGATGCTCGTAGTATCTCGCTACAGGACTAAGAAGCGACCATTCCGATTAGCTGTTGGCCGAACTTTCGACCACCAACTCTTGGACATGGAGGAACTGCATGTATCCAACTACGTAACGCGATTATACTCTCCTGAATAAGCACCAACGGGCATCTTGTAGGTCCCGGCTAGTCAATTCAAGGGGGCCGAGGCCCCTCGACTGGGTAGCAAGCCCCTAGTTATCTTCCAGGGTGACGGCTTTGCTAGCGTACCGGACTTGCAGCATGCTCGCTCCCTGCTATTGGACGTATTCAGAGGATCACAGGTAGAAAACTCCTGGTCTCACAGGCTCTTATGGGGGGTGCCATTGTGTTAGGCTAAAGCGGTGGCTTTGGACGGTTTGGACCATGTCGTAGTCTTCACTGCAGTGGAGGACCCTGAGGAAACTGGATCCCATCTCATATGCTTCAGTCGGTCTACTGCTAGCACGCTGCTCTTAATGTCGCATCGGTGTAGTAGAAGCAGTAGTACATAGTTGTGTTTGAATCACCCCAGCTC